CTGAAAGCAGGTATCTGGGGTTTATTTACCTTCTATAATTGAAACTTTGTTGCTTTGAGTGTAGCTTAGAGCAGGCTGTGGCAGGCGGGGAACCTTGGCTTCCTCCATCACTGGAGCAAGCAAGCTTCCTGCTCGCTGCAGCTCTGTGGCTGCCGGCCGCCATTCTGGTTGGCAGTTAATTTGCATATCTCACTGATTAGCCAATGGGAGGTGTAGTGAAGGTATGGTCAATTACCATGTTTGTCTATTATTAGGTAAGATACTATATATCTATATACCAATCTCATGATAACTTGATGACTGTGAATTTACAGTAGTTCTTGAATTAGGTAGTAGATACCCTTCAAATTTAGTTTCTTTTTCAAAAATGATTTTGACTCTCCTAGGACCTTTTCTTTCTATAAAAATCTTAGAGTAAGATTTTAAATTTCTAAAGCCTGCTGGGATTTTGATTGTGAATGTTTGAAATTTATAAATAAACTTGGAGAGAATTAGTATCTTGACAACATTGAAAAATTTAATCCATGAACATGGTATATCTTGCCATTTAATTGTAGGCCTTTGTTATTTTCTTTTAACAATGTGTTATATAACTTGGTGTTTCTCTTATCAGTATTTTTCAGTCTTCAGGATGAGGCCTGCAAAGGGCCAGCGTCTTCTAGCTCAACCGAAGGCACATGCCAGTGTGGGATAATGGCCAGCAGGTGGAGAGAAACCTTTTCTGGTGTTCCTGGATGTGAGCCCAATGCTGTGGTTCCATATCCCATTGTAAAGTCAAAATGGGAGATACGGTTGGGTGGGGAGACATGGAGCTGGACTGGAAGGCTGGGGTTAAGGTGGAAGTTATAAAAACTGGAATGTTTGAATGCACGTCATTGAGTGGCTGCATCTCCTCTGCATGAATGTATTATTGAGACAGATATTATGTCTGACCAGGGAGCATGTCCCTTACCTAGTATTATAAAACAGTAGGCATGGATGTTCACCCTTCGGTCAGTATTAATTAGACACACTACATGGGAGTCCATAGGTTTGCCCGAGCCTGCACAGGTTGTTAATTTGAAACAGCACAGAACACCTACCTAGTGGACAAAAGGAGATTAGCACTTTAATAAGCAACGTGTTAGAAGCTGGAATGCGTGGAATCAGATTCTCTGTGTAACAGTGCCATGTGGCCTGTGGGAAAGGCAGAGGCTTGCGGAGACTCACGGCAGACTCCAGATTTGGATCAGCAGTTCTCCTGTTAGCATCAGCAGTTATCACTGTGGCTTCAATAGTGCAAAACTCACAGCACGCTAAAGGAGGCTTGTATCACGGGCGGCTTTCGCAAATGCTTTTCCTCCGTCTCAGGAAGGAGCCAGCCGTAGCTTGCCTGCATGTGGGGAGGATCCCAATTCACATTTATCCAACAGCCACATAGCTCTCAGAACTCACCAGTTTACTGTCGTAAGTTGGTTAGAAGGGATTTGGACTTGATGCAGGGTCTGAGTGTAATAAAACACTATGTTGATATCATGATAATATAGGAAACTGAAGAGCAGGTGGGGACTGACTTAAGTTAATGCTGATACAGGTGACTAACAGAGTCTGCTTGATAAACCAGCAAAGATCCAAGGGTCCTCCCACTTGCCGAAATTCTTAGAAATAACACAAGCAGAAGCCACCCTCAACATCCCACAGGCAACGGAAAATAACTTCATCCATCGCTTCTCCCTGGAATAAGGAAGAAACAATGTGTGGCTGGGTTGTCTTGATTTTGGAGATTGCATGTTTCACATCTGGGAATGTTGCCAGCACCTACCCCTCCCCAAGAGAAGGCCAAATTCAAGTGGTGGCCTGAACAGTAGGTTGTCCAAATATCTCTATGGATGCCCTTGGCCCTGATGATCCCCAACAGATGTGATCTGGAGGAACCAGCAACTCACACTCTGCAGACTTGCTCAGAGCTAAAGCCCATGAGTGCCACCCAGTGGCAATCGCTGGGATTTTGGACCAAAACATTTCCAGGTGCAGGGATACGGTGATCACTATATGAGAGACAATTACTAGCTTGCTATTAGGCATTGACTGAAAGTGTCCCTAGGACTGAGGACAGAAAGTAATCTTGAAACTCAAAATAACCATCATGTCTTGGGTGATGTTAGAGACACTATGATAAGGAGAGCAGTGCCCAGGAGGCATGTGAGGGGGTTCTCTCCGGCTGACTTCAGAACCACTTGAGGGGCTGCCAGGTTCTGCTGCCACATGGGCAGTGTCCTATGATCAGCTCTCGATTGACCAACGAGATGAGGGTTCGAGGTGGAAGGACAGCATGTTTGGAAGTTCAGCTACCCTATGACCAACTGATGGAGAACCCTGATTGAGGAAGGTAGAAACCAGCTAGCTCAGTGGGGCTGAATTGCATGCTGGTTTCCTTGCCGTGATGGAAGAATTAAACAACAGTGGACGTCCTGTGTGGGAGTGTTCACTCACTCTCGGGCAGTGGCCGATAACCCGGCTCTGTGACCAGGGAGGTGGGCAGTGGGAAACTGGACTCTTAAAGGGATGCCGGGATGGGGCACGGCCCTACGGAAATCTCTCTGAAATGTCACTCTTCATAACCAAATGCCTACCCATCCATCCATCCTCCTCTCTTTTGGACTCCTTATTCTGTCCATTTGTCTCTCTGTCTATTCCTGCAGCAACGCTATCCTGTCGCAATTACTATAGCTTTTCATATATCTTGATATCTGGTAGCAAGTCCTCTGTCATTGTTCTTTTTCTTCACCATCGGGCTTGGTTATTTTAGCACTTCCTAAGTAAAGGTGGAGGTATGCATTTTAGAATCAGCTTGTCCATTTAAACAAAAGAAAAATTAGTTGGATTTTTATTGAGATTGTGCTGAATCTATAGACCTTCTTTGTTGTCTTTACAATTCTGAGGACAAGGCATATATCCCTCTATTCACTTAGGACGTGTAAGTCCATCACCACCAAGATACTGAACAGTTCCAATACCACGACGGCTCTTTGGCATTGGGAACTGGGAATCTGTACCGGGGCCCTGACTGCCCAAGTGTGGAAGCGCTGCGCATCCAGCAGAAGCCGTACTTGGAGTGCGGCTCTTTCCCCAGCTAGTGATAGACGGCCCAGTGTTTGTGATGCGGGCAGAGGCAGCTTCGTCAGCCACGCGATCGGGAGGGTCAACAACGAACACTGGACTGTGCTCTGTGTTCTGAGCACCTTTAAGGTGATTTAGGCGAAGCTATAATGTTCAGGGGGTTGGGTGTACTAAGTGCATTTTTGACATTTACCGGGCTGTAACCCTATTTGAGACAAGCGGGAATTCTCACATCAGAGAAACATCCATCTGGGCGGGAAGGCCCGTCCACCGCCCCTGGTTCCGGCG